CGAAGCGTCCTCCGACGCAGCGTCTCGTTCCCTCGAGGAACCATGGTTACATACGTAACCTGAGACATTTTTTTTCATTTTGATTAAACATTACGAGTTCAGTTTTTGATGATGAATGCAGCACATGCATGGATGACTTTCCATTAGGGATGTAACGATTAACCGCGAGCCGGTGAAGCAATCAAAACCAACAAAAGAGCAATAATTTACAATTGCTATATTAGTATATTATTATAGTGTTATATTTCAATTTCACAAAGAAACGTGCAGCATTTTGTCCAAGCAATAATAAAAGGACACATTTAATTTATAATTGGTCTTAAATCTCATTTTGTAAAAAAAATCATGAATCGAATCATCAAAGCAAAATCGTAAATCGAATCGAATTGCGAGTTGAGTGAATTGTTACAGCCCTACTTTCCATCATTACATATAAGAGTGAAGAAGGTATATGTTTCACTTGAATGAACTGGGTGTTCAAATGCTACAAATAAGAGAGAGGATAATTTAAGATTCACTATTACTAATTCACTGTAATGAACTGCTCTTTCTTTGCTATATGTGAGAAGGGAGAGTTGTTGGTGAGCATGTTTACTGAACTACTGTCACACTACTGAGAAATGTAAAGTTACTTGTGTCATTACTTATAGTTAGTTATTCACGGACACTGGTTTCAATATTTATGATTCAATATTTTCTGGATTAGGTGTGGCTCAATCCAGGAATGCTGACTAGACAGCCAATCAAAAACCAATGTGCTGCAAAATTATTCTGAAATAGAAATATATTTGGGCTAGATTGAAATCAATTATGGATATCCCAGAAATGGTGGTGAGAGCAATCTTCAGACAAGCTTGTGAATATATCAGAGATTGAATGTAAATGTTGAATTGTTGTATATGGCGGCAGTTTACAGGTTGTTTACAAAGACAATCATCCAATATGGATCTTAATCTTCACTTTTTTTTCCAATTTCAGAGTCTGATGAATTTGAATAAATTACATAATTTATATTCAAATGAATTGCATTGGTTCAATTTGAATTAATAAAATAAATTAGATCATTGGCCCATTTAAAAATCAGACTTATGGAGAGATTTGCATTGCGTTCTAATTATATTTATAAAGGGCTCTTTGCTCTTGTGAAGCATTGCTGACAGACATGGTTGAGTCTCTGACCTATCAGGAAATATGGTGAGATTATTTTTGTGATATTGTTGTAATTTATGACCTTTGCAGTACCGCAATATCAGAGGAAAGGATGAAATAAAGAGCTTAATTTACGATCGAACAAATCAAGAATAAAGTCTAAAAACAATTTGAACTTTAATAACCAATGCACTGGCATCTTTCTTTATCTCCCTGTTTATTGATGTTTCAACTTTCACTGCAGACATTGATATGGGCATCATTAAAGGGAAAGTTCACCCAAAAATAAAAATTCTGTCATTATTTACTCCCATACACCTCATTTCAAACCTATATGCTATTATTTTAGGATTTGAAGGAACGTTCCATTAAACCATACACCATGACAGTGCAGTAGATGTAAATTTCTTCCATTTTTCTTTCAGAAAACAAGTCATTTGGATCATTTTTATGGTGCTTTTTGTGTCATTTTGGAGCTCGACCACCCCAGTCCTTATTTGCTTTCATTATATTAATAAAAGTGTCCAGGTTAAATTAATCTTTTGCATTCCAAGTCAAACAGGTTTGGAACAACATGATGGTGAATAAATTATGGCAGGTTTTTAATTTTGCATGAACTATCCCTTTATTGACTGGCAAATACAGCGAAAGTGTATATATTTCAGACATGTTTTCTATCAGTCTGTGCTGAATGACTTTTTCACTATCGTAAAGATTGATTCTTGTTTTGGGCCATGCCTTTGGGCCTTATTAAATCAAAATGTAAACTCACTCTCCTCTAACAAACGGCAGAGAAAATGCCACTGGCCGGCTCCCTGCGGGGTTGCACTCAGATTACTCTGACAAGTTAACTACCGAATGAGCTTCCACTTCTCTTCTTTTATTTAGTTAGGTGATGGAATACTCTACATCTCTCCAATATTGCGGAGGTGAAGAGACCACCCCCCCCGCCTTTAATGTGTTTACATTGCAGGCACTATAATGGGTATTGTATGATTATATTGTAATGCATGTTGACAGTGTCTGGGCTAGACTGTGTACCCAGTAGATTATATGCAGTGAACATGTCTTGAGATGTATCAACTCTTGACCGTATGGTACGGTGTTACCTTTCGCATATGTAAGCACTCACCTTGAGTGATGTCCATACGTTGCTGCTTTTGCTGGGTTGAGGACGCTGTCAAAAAGGCCAGGGCAGCAGGGCCATCTGGACTCCATATGGATAAGGGCTGATATCTAACTATTATCATTACTCAACACTTTGGCCTGTTCAAAAGTTTAGCAGGATGGCACCTATCTGTCAAGACACCTCTCTGAGAGAAGTAAAATTTTGAAGCACATTTTATCATTTTGAATGTTTTTATATATTGCTTTTGTCGGTACATTATTTAAGTTACAATTAAGACCATTTTTGCAAAATAAATAATAACATTTCAAAATGCATGTCACGGCTTTCTATCTTCATTTTTAGGCAGATTATGTACAGTTGTATGCATATGTAATCTATCGTTCAAACGTTTGGGGTCAGTAATAGTATTATAATGTTTTCGGAACATTTTAAAACTCTTATGCTCACCAAGGCTGCATTTATTTAATCAAAAATACAGTAAAACCGTAACATATATTGCAATATAAAATAACTGTTTATTATTTTAATCTATTTTAAAAATGTAATTTATTCCTGTGATGCAAAGCTGACTTTTCAGCAGCCATTACTCCAGTCTTCAGTGTCACATGATTCTTCAGAAAACATTCAAACATGCTGATTTAGTGATATACGTTTTTTGCGTGTGTTATTATCAGTGTTGCAAACAGTTGGCTGCTTAATATTTTGTGGAAATCGTTTTCCAGGATTTATTAAATAGAAATATTTTGTAACATTACAATTTTTATTTACAATCACTTTTGATAAATTTAATGTATCCTCACATTAAAAATAAATAAATAAATAATAATAAAAAAAAAAATCTTACTGACCACAAATGCATATAAACTTGCATAGCATAAGTTGTGACTATATCAGTTAAAAGTATTAATCGACTAATCACCATATTTATATTTTATATTATTACTTTTATTACCAGACCGACACGTTTTATTTTCCTAAACAAATGAACTGTACACTTTATTGTAAATATATTTAATCACCACATTAAAATAGTATTAGCTCTTTAGTGCCTGACTGGATGCTGAGAATGATTATTGTACTTGCTGTGTGCAGAACACCTGCTATAAAACTTGCCGTGAGCTTTTTTTCTTTTTTTTTCTAGTTCCACAGACCGTACTCTCCCTGAAAATGTGCAAATGAAATCCTTTGGCACATTGAATTGATATAGAGCATGTGCGCACTACTTAAGGTGTTTAAAATTCACACTCAGAGGCAGGGATAAATGTGTACCTTCATTAAATCTCGGGCATGGATTTAACACGGTCTGCTACACCGGAGACTTGAAATCACTTAGCACCCTGATTAAACATGAAAACAAAATGGTTGCGGTGACTTTGATAAGGTGTATTTGCGAGGAGCGCCACTATTTTTTTTTCTTAAGCAAGTGCAAGACAGGTGTTGTAACGGCTATATTTAGCTTGTGCTAAACTACCTAAACCTGTTAATCTGTTAAAACGACTTATTTGTCAGCACGTGTATTTCTATGTAAAAGAGTTGAAAGGGCAACTCAACAAGGCAGATGCATGTGCGAAAATAGCCTGTGTACGAAAAACAGGTCTCAGTTGTTTTGCTAATTGTAGCTAATAGCACCTTTGCTGTTTTGTTCATCACCTTCTTTGTTTACATTTGAGTTGAAAAGTTCACCGCACGGCTTCTGCATAGATGTAGTTCTGGAGAACCGTGGGTCTCAACAGTGTCATTACAAGCCCACTCCTCCATCTCAGAACGGCCATCAGAGCCACTGTACGGAATGTGCAGCATTTGGCCACAGATCCATCACACTCTTGTGCGTTAATTAGAAAGCAGAGCTGCCATGCTTCAAAGCATACCTAACCAGCATATGCTGTTTTTTTTTCAACAGGGTTGACTTTATTGGTTGTGTGTTTTAGATGTTTAGAACACCATAATGATGTATGCACATGAAAATAATGTTAGGCTGCAGCAACATGCCTAAGTGTACAATAATGACTCCAGGTGACATTTTACAAGCACTTATATGAGAAGGCTGTTACATACATGACAAGAATAATATGCAGTAAAATCCTACTGAATATGCAACATGACCATTGATATATGCTGTATACTGTGTATGTAAGTGTACACACACACACACAAATGTATATATTAATGTTCGAAAACACTCTGTTTGCTTTTTTGCGAACAATGAACAATAAAGCAGATTGCAGCGGCAGCATTATAAAGACGTCTTCTGAGATCTTGCCAGTTTTTCCCATCAGCATTTTGTTTACTGATAATATTATGAATGCTCTAAATATTCAACATATTGTGTCTGAGACTATTGATTAAAGTTTCTGAGAAGCAACTTTTATAGATTGTTTTGAGTCTTACACATCTTAAACTGCTCGCTGCGCAGACGACGAGCATCAATAATTGAATTAGAGTTTCCTATTCTCTAAATAATGCGATTTACGCTCATTGTCGTTTTATGCTACCAACATTTGTTTGGAAAATTTCTGCAACTGCAACATCCTCAGCTATTAAACTAACTAATGTGATTTGATGATTCCATCAGTCTTGAGTGCTGTTTGGATCACAAACACTCGGGGAGGGGTTCACTTTAGACTCCTCAACTCCTGGACTGCACAGTGAGACAGAGTGCTTTCATTAATTTCATTTATTTCTGTAAAAGAGGATTATAGTGTGACCTTTCTGTGAAGCTGGACCAGCATCATCATTCACACTCATTATACGAGAATTCGATGGGATTGAACCCAACACCTGCCTCCTAAGGGGGCAATTAGACAGTGAATGAATTCTTGGCAACGTTGTAAACTTGCGCTACACGGCTGTGGCACAAAAAGTGCAGGGGAAGCAACAACAACAGTTTCCCTGGGCACCGCTGATATGCGCTGGCATAACTAGTAGGTTTAATGATATTTAGTGCAAATGTTTCTATTTTGCATTTTGCATCTAACTTAATGCAGTTTTTCTTACAAATTATAGTATAATAATTAAAGTGCAAAGCTGAATAGAAAAATTAATTTGATATCTCTTTTACTTAAAGGGGATAGTTCACCCAAAAATGAAAATTCTGTCATTAATTACTCACCCCCATGTCGTTCCAAACCCGCAAGACCTTCGTTCATCTTCGGAACACAAATTAAGATATTTTTGATAAAATCTCAGCTCTCAGACCCTGCATAGACAGCAACGCAACTGTAAGGTTCCCAGGTCCAGAAACGTAGCAAGGACATCGGTAAAACACTCCATGTGACATCAGTGGCTCAACTTCAGTTTTGCAAAGCTACGAGAATACTTTTTGAGAGCAAAGAAAACTAAAATAAGATTTTTTTTCAACAATTCTTCTCCCCCGAGTTATGTCTTCCGCCATTTTAGAGAGTATCACAATGCATACGCATGCTTTCCCCTAAGCGTAAACAACGCATATTACGTTCATGCGCGCGCTTTCTTCTCCGAACGTAAACAACGCTGATTACGTCGATTAAGTTTAATTAACAGGAAAACGTACGATTTTAATGTGAAAACATCACCTAACGAGTCAGCGTTTTTATATCTGAAGTATCCCTGTTCTTTCTTACAATTCTTCTCCCCAGAGTTATGTCTTCCGCCATTTTAGAGAG